TTTTTTTTAAGTTTATTTATTTATTTTGAAAGAGAGAAAGCACAAACAGGGAAGGCTCAGAGAGAGGGAGAGACAGAATCCCAAGCAGGCTCTGCCCCATCAGCACAGATCCCAATGTGGGCTCAAACTCATGAACTGTGAGATCATGACCTGAGCTGAGATTAAGAGTCAGTTGCTTAACTGACTGAGCCACCCAGGCACCCCTCAACTTGGTTCTTCTTTTTTCTAGGTTTTTTAAATGTTCATTTTTGAGAGAGAGAGAGAGAGAGAGAGAGAGAGAGAATATGCATGTGAGGGAGGGGCAGAGAGAGAGGGGAGACAGAAGAAGATCTCAAGTAGGCTCTCTCTGCCCTGTCAGCACAGAGCCCAGTGTAGGTGGGCTTGGACTCAGGAACTGTGAGATCATGACCTGAGCCAAAGTTGAATGCTTTAACTGACTGAGCCACCCAAGTGCCCCAACTTGGGTTTTTTTTTTTGTTTTTGTTTTTTTCCAATTTCTTCACATCCTTTCCAATACTTTTTATTTTCTGTTCTGTTTTTGTGTTTTTCTTATAATCATTCTACTTGGTATGAAATGGTATCTCATTGTGGTTTTAATCTGCATTTCCCTGATGATTAGGGATGTTAAAGATCTTTTATTGACTTATTGACTGTTCATGTATCTTCTTTTTTTAATGTTTTTTTCTTTCTAAAATTAATTTATTTTTTACAGTTTACATCTAAGTTAGCATATGGTGCAATAATGATTTCAGGAGTAGATTCCTTAATGCCCCTTACCCATTTAGCCCATCCCGCCTCCCACAACCCATCCAGCAACCCTCTGTTTGTTCTCTATATTTAAGAGTCTCTTATATTTTGTCCCCCTCCCTGTTTTTATATTATTTTTGCTTCCCCTAACTTGGTTCTTAATGACACTTTCATAAAAGTAGAAGTGGAACCATCAGGCATAAACCACAAATTAAAATGAACCCCTTGTTTAAATGTATAGTTTATAGGCTTGTGGATATTAGATCATAGAGAATTAGAATACATTATACAGTAGATTAGGTAAATGAAATGATGGTCAAGTTTAAAATGTCAAAGGTTTTTTCTGTTAAAGTTGGTAATTCACCATGATATTAGATTAACTTTATACCCAGCATAAACTGAAATTAGTTTTTAGCATTTTCAGATTAGAAAACACAACTAGACCTTCTTTATCTATTCTTCTCAAGTTTATGCTGTGTTACTATAGCAAGTAATTCTCAGAAACAGCTCCATCCAGTTAGTGTTTGCTTATTATCAGTAATATTTTAAGCAACTACCTTTTAAAAAAATTTTTTTAATATTTATTTATTTTTGGGACAGAGAGAGACAGAGCATGAACGGGGGAGGGGCAGAGAGAGGGAGACACAGAATCGGAAACAGGCTCCAGGCTCTGAGCCATCAGCCCAGAGCCTGACGCGGGGCTCGAACTCACGGACCGCGAGATCGTGACCTGGCTGAAGTCGGACGCTTAACCGACTGCGCCACCCAGGCGCCCCTTAAGCAACTACCTTTTAAAAAAATTTTTTTAATATTTATTTATTTTTGATTTTATTTTTTATTTTTTAAAATTTACATCCAAATTAGCATATAGTACAACAGTGATTTCAGGAATAGATTCCTTAGTGCCCCTTACCCATTTAGCCCATCTCCCCTCCCACAACCCCTCCAGTAACCCTCAGTTTGTTCTCCATATTTATGAGTCTCTTCTGTTTTGTCCCCCTCCCTGTTTTTATATTATTTTTGCTTCCCTTCCCTTATGTTCATCTGTTTTGTATCTTAAATTCCTCACATGAGTGAAGTCATATGATATTTGTCTTTCTCTGACTGACTAATTTTGCTTAGCAGAATACCCTCCAGTTCCATCCAATTAGTTGCAAATTGCAAGATTCCATTCTTTTTGATTGCCGAGTAATACTCCATTGTGTATATATATCACTTCTTCTTTATCCATTCATCCATCGATGGACATTTGGGCTCTTTCCATTCTTTGGCTATTGTTGATGGTGCTGCTATAAACATGGGGGTGCATGTGTCCCTTCGAAACAGCACCCTGTATCCTTTGGATAAATGCCTAGTAGTTCAATTGCTGGGTCGTAGGGTAGTTCTATTTTTAGTTTTTTTGAGGAACCTCCGTACTGTTTTCCAGAATGTCTGCACCAGCTTGCATTCCCATTAAGCAGCTACCTTTTAACAATAAGGTATATATCTATGATTGCCCCGATCAGGAGCTGAAGTCAGACTTTTAAAACACAATTCCATTAGGCCAGTTCTTTGGAAAAATAAATACCCTTTAGTGTTGAAATTTCTTTCTTTTCATTTTCTTTAACCACAGTTTCGGTTTTAATACTTTTTCTATAAGTAAAAGATAACTCATATCATCTAGTTCTTTATTTTTTAGTTTATTTTCTGAATCAGCTTCAAGTCTTTGACGTTTATATGTAAAACAGTATAATTCATACATCCACACACTGACTTCGACTTTGTGGCCTTTTTAAAAATTAGAATTGATCTTCTGTAACATATAGTATCTTAGATTTTTTTCCCCCACATGGTTCTGTTGCTGTGGATTTGAAATCATGGTGATGTATTATGTTTAATTTGTTACATTAAAAAAAAAAAATGGGTTCACAGTTCTTTATGCATTTAAGTATTTTGAATTACTTTTCCTCTCTTTCTAGCTGTCCCCTTTCCTCCAACCCAACGGCTTACTTTGAAGGAAGTATTTGAGAATGGGAAACCTAAAATTGATATCTTAAGAAACCATTTGGTGAAGGAAGGGCGACTGGAAGAGGAAGTAGCCTTAAAGATAATCAATGATGGGGCTGCTATCCTGAGACAAGAGAAGACTATGATAGAACTAGATTCTCCAATCACAGGTATGAGAAATATTTGGGTGGCACTTAGATTTGAGCTTATTTGAAAAATTATTACAAATAACCAACTAAAATGTGTGATAATTTTTCTAGGAATTATGAGGTAGTCTTAGGATTGTTTGTTGTTTATTGAAGAAATACAACTTAAAATATCTCATATTTCCTATAGGACTATTCAGTATTGATAGATTGACTACAATTATAAAACAGCCCAGTCAAAAGCTAAAGTGATTTCAGTTAAAAGTTAAACTGTGATCTTATTGATGTACTGTCCTTTCTCTTCTAAGACATCATTTTTCACCTCACCTTATGCCCTTTTTTTCCTAGTGTGTGGTGACATTCATGGACAATTCTTTGACTTGATGAAGTTGTTCGAAGTTGGAGGATCACCTACTAACACACGCTACCTCTTTCTGGGTGACTATGTGGACAGAGGCTATTTCAGTATAGAGGTAAAAATTAAATTGGATACGTGGGAACTTTCATTACCTTTTTTTAGAACTTTGCTTTCTACTCTTCGGTAGAAGAAATTAAAATGAGAACACTGGCAGAACTTATAAACCTTGTTACTTTTAGTAATTAAGGTGTTAGAAAAATGTTTTCACTGGTGTAAGAAAGTTCTATTCCTTCTTGTAGCTTCTATATGTGGTAGACATATAGAAGGGGCTATATTAAACCCAGCTTTGCAGGTAAGTCAAATGTTTACCAACCTTTCCTCTTTGAAGATAGTGCACAGGCTGTATATAAATGGCATAAATTGCTATTCACCCTAAACAGGGTTTGGATTAGCAGACACTAATTCTAAAACCACAAGCTGGTGGGCTGTAATTTACTCTTAGATTAACTTCCGATGCTAAACCACCAGGCACTTAGTTTACTGTAGGAATAATTTTTGATACTGTTATGCATAGTAAGCACTAATAAATGTTCATTGAATAAAAAATGTTTAAAATTAATGAAGTTAATGGAAACTCAAAATTTTTTTCATGTATTTTGAAAACTGAATGAAGAGAAAAAAATGATTGGAATTAAAGTATAAGCTGTTGTGTATAAAAAATAAAACTATTTTAGAACATCATGCAAAGACTTGAGTACAGTGGTACCATATTCATATTTAATATCAATTGATTTAGCTGTACATGCTTTGCAAATAAAAGGCAAGTAACGTTTGAAATAGTACAGGTAATTGAATTTATAATGTGCCCAAGAATAAGCATGAGATGAGAAATTGAGTCCGCTTGCTGTTCTTGTAGTCTTTAGTCCTGCCTCTCCCTCATAGTGTGACGGTCTCAGTGTATTTAGTGTGTTTCTAGTGGTTAAAGGTTTATTTGTGCAGCATCACTCCTAAATCCAAGTCAACTATCTCACCTAGTGCTTAAAGAAGCAGTGGTTATTCTAAAGCTGGAAGAAACTCTTTAGTTAAATAGATGTGTCTATTCATGAATCAGTGAAGTTCAGAGTTATGTGCCAGTGCCCCAAATTAATTTAGTGCCATCTGTGAGGACAAAGGTTAATGGTAGAAGCTAAGAAAATTATCTTCTTGCCCCGCTGCTCAGTAAATTCCCAAGGTCTCCAAGTAGGTACCTGGGATGAGTGGAGATGATACCTGCAGACTGTATCATTGAAATGCTTCTCTATTCCAGGTATCCTAAGTGTCCATTGATAGGGACACCTGGGTCGCTCAGTTAATTGTCTGACTTCAGCTCAGGTCATGACCTCACGGTTCATGAGTTTGAGCCCTGAGTCAGGCTCTGTGCTAACAGCCTGGAGCCTGCTTTGGATTCTGTGTCTCCCTCTCTGCCTCTCCCCTGCTCATGCTCTGTCTCTCTCTCTCTCAAAAATAAACATGAAAAAAAGTTTTTAATTAAAAAATTGTCCATTGATAGATGAATAAATAAGATGTAATAAATATATATAATGGATATAATATAATAGAAAATTACTCAGACATAAAAGAGAATGAAGTGTTGCCATTTGCAACAACATGGATGGACCTAGAGGATATTATGCTAAGAGAAATAAGTCCAAGAAAGACAGATACTTATGATTTCACTCAGGTAAGGAATCTATAAAACAAAACAAGTGAACAAACAAAACAGAAGCAGACTTATTTATAAACACCAAGAACAAACTGGTGGTTGCCAGAGGAGAGGGGAGTAGGAAGTCAGGATATAGGTAGAGGGGATTAAGAGGTACAGACTTCCAGTTATAAAATAAATAAGTCATGGATGAAATGTACATCACAGGGAATATAGTCAAAATACTGTAATAACGTCATATGGTGACGGTGATAACTATCCTTATTGTGGTGAGCATTGCATAATATATAGGATTGTTGAATCACTATGTTGTACACCAAGAACTAATATTGTATGTCAACTGTAGTTCAATAAATAAATAAAATAAAAAGGGAAGCAAACATAGTCTAAAAAGGAAAAGCTTTCTAATTCCTATTCACATCATGTTTCAAGAGACAATCAAAAATATGGATGTTTGAAAGACACATTGAATGTTTACTTCTTTGGGTATTGATTAGCATGAAGAGGTTTTATCTATCTATCTATCTATCTATCTATCTATCTATCTATTTTTGAGAGAAGAGAGAGCCAGTGAGCGAGGGTCAGAGAGAATTCCACGAGTTGCAGAGAGAGAGGGAGAGAGAGTACGGAGCCCAGAGCTGGGCTCAAGCTCACCCAGAGCAGGGCTGGAACTCACAAACCATGAGATCATGGACCTGAGCCAAAGTTGGATGCTTAACCGATGGAATCACCAGGTGCCCCAGCATGAAGAAGTTTTAGAGGCTGAAGAGAATACAGAACTTACTGAATATTTAATTAGTCATTATATTTAATGAAACAACTTCTTTTTTATTTTAAATTTTTTTTTCAACGTTTTTTATTTATTTTTTGGGACAGAGAGAGACAGAGCATGAACGGGGGAGGGGCAGAGAGAGAGGGAGACACAGAATCGGAAACAGGCTCCAGGCTCCGAGCCATCAGCCCAGAGCCTGACGCGGGGCTCGAACTCACGGACTGCGAGATCGTGACCTGGCTGAAGTCGGACGCTTAACCGACTGCGCCACCCAGGCGCCCCTGAAACAACTTCTTAAAAAGATAATATTATGCCAAATCATCTTCAGGTTGTTGTTAACTGACATATTTACAAATAGTTTCAATGCATTAATACATTCAATATAAAGCACACACTGAAAAACTCCATAATGATTTTTGTACACACATACTATATTCAGAATATTTTCTGTTACATATTTTTTCCTCATTCATCAACAAATGTTTCCTGATTGCCAACTTTATGGCAGGCTCTGAGGATAAAATAATGAATAAGATTTATGCTTTCTATTTTTATTTGTTTGTTTTTAAGATTAATGCTTTCTATAGGAGCTGACAGTCTGTTAGAAAAGATGCACTTGTAACTAGATTTTTCAATACAGTATAAAAGTGCTTGTTTAATTTTCTGCAATATTCTTCATATTAAGACCTAGCATACTAGCATGGTACCTGACACATAGTTGGCACTCAATATTTGCTCAATGAATGAATGTTAATAAATCATAGTTTGTATTTGGCTTTATCCTGTTATTTGACATTTGACTAACTTAAAGGATTTTTCTGGAATAGCTTAAGAGGTAAATGGATCAAAACATTAAAGTGACAATGCTATTTTATACCAGTTTTAAAACTAAAATTCAGGGTGTATATAGTGTTAGTTGGAAGTCACCTACTTATAAACTACCAAGGTTATAAACTTCTGTAGGCTACAGCTTAGTCCAGCATGATATAGGTATATACTTGATCACAGTTTTTTTTTTTTATCAGTGTCCTTGATAAGCATGAGTATGTTGTTTTTGTCAAATGGATGAAAATAAGGTAATGGAGTCCTTATTACATTTTTGTTGTTGTAAATAGTTCATTTTTGTAGAAAAATTGGGAAATGTAGACTCTAAGAAAACAAAAACTTGTATAAATCACATATAATCACTGTTAATATCATAGTTTTTTTTTTCTTTAAGATTTTAAATTATTTTTTAAAAGTAATCTCTACACCCAATGTGGGGCTGTAACTCACAACCGCTGGACCAAGAGTTGCATGCTCCACTGACTCAGGCAGCCAGGTGCCCCAACATCTTGTATTTTCTTGCAGTCCTTTTTCTTCTTTTACATTTGTATTTATCCTTTTTTAAAGAAAATTGAAATCATTTTGGACATTTCCTTTTGTAGTCTTTTTTTCCCCACTCAGCATTGTATTGAAAACACTTTTCTCTGTGGTTAATGGTAAAAATACCAGAATTTACTTCACAATTCTTTATTTTTGGATGTTTGGTTTGTTGATACTGCTTGCTGCCTATCTTTTCTCTCCTTCTTCCTTACTATCAAAATTCCATTTTTTTCAGATAAGTGAGATTGGGGTTTCAGAGAAAACCTTTGATTTCAGTATGGGGAAGCCCTTAACCCAGCCCCAGGGAATGAATTGATTGGTCTGAGCTAGTCATATAAACCCATTCCTTGTCACCAGTGATTGGTCTAGGGATAAACATGGGATTCTGTTTTGCCCAGTAATATATAAAGGGAACTCTGCTGGGTGCTTTTTAGGTGTGTGAGTGTGTGCGTGCATGCGCATGCATGCTGACACACACTTTGAAACACTTCGTTTCCAGATGAAAAGACTAGCAAGGTGAAAGTTTCTGAACCCCTGTTTAACTACATCATATCAAATGTGGGTGGGTACACTATAGCAGCCATTTTGTGATCATGAGGAGGTGCTAAGGATGAAAAGCAGACCTGTGAATTACAGATCATAGAGGGAAAGAGGACATGGTTTCTTGGTGACAGCATTAAGCTGGTACACTAAATCTGGACATCTTACCTCCAGATTTCTTGTTTCATGAGATACTTAATGTCTTTATGGCTTAAACAATTGTTAATTGGATATTTATCACTCGTACTGTAAGTGGATGTTTTCTAGTTACTTCTGCATATTGCTACACCTTTCTGAATTAATAACATTTCTGATATTTACTTAGGTTAGATTCTTATAAGTAAAAGAAGTGGATGAAAGACTATGAACATTCTATTTTTTTAAAGTTTATTTATTTTGTGAGAGAGAGCAAGAGAGCACGCGAGTGCACAAGCAAGTGGGGGAGGGATAGAGAGAAAAGAAGAGAGAGAATCCCAGGTAGGCTCCTCGCTGTTAGGGCAGAGCCCGACATGAGGCTCTATCCCATGACCGTGAGATCATGACCTGAGCCAGAGCTGAGAGTCAGACACTTAATGGACTGAACCACCCAGGTGCCCCAGACTATGAACATTTTAAAGACTTTTGATACATATTGCCTAATTGTTTTCACAGAACTTTATTCACTGTATTTATATTTTCTTTCTATACTTAATAATTGTTTTCCTTGAGCCTATGTGAAATAATCAAGGCAAGATGA